CTCCTTGAGAGGCCAGGTTTAGTTCCAAGCCACTACAGCCTACCTTTCCAACTACAATGTAAACCCCATAAGACAGAACTTTGACTGAATTGTTCCTTAATGTTTTTCATAAACATAGAAATTAAAGGAAGGAATACAATTTTTCTATGACAATGCACAACACAGACCAATCAAATAAAGACAAAAGCCACTGCACAACAGAAACCCAAGTTCTTCTCCTGTCAAAACAATTTTCCTCTCCTGTAGTAACAAACATCTTTCCTGCCACCACCTCAAGACATTTTAGTTTGAAATTTCCAGCCTATGAGGACAGTACCATGCTTGACTTCCATGCGAGTGGGCCAGCACCTCTGATTAAATTTTCATACAATTTTTATGAGTTTTCTAAGTTTTAACCACAATCCAAGTGGGGATTTATGAACTTAAAACAAACAAAAAATTGTCTTTCAGGAATGAAAAATAAATGTAATCTGATATCAATATTTATGAAGTTGTGATTAATTGACTGATGACCAAATGATTACAAAACGTCTGTCTGAAACATCTACTCAAATTTATTAGCTTTGACCAAAAAAATTAAAAAACAATCTGAACCAGGTCAATGAAAGAATAATGCATTCCTAATCAATTTTTAATAGCACTTAAGATTTTATATTTTTTTAAACTTGCTTTTAAATAATTTATCATTAAAATGAATCTGATTTAAACAAGGGGTAAAAGGTGTTCCATAGCTATTTGATGGTTTTCTTAGCAAAGAAATTCAATTATGACTGACTTTTTATTACTGAACTACTTTATTAATAATAATACATCTTGCACTTACATGAAGGCATCAGGCCAACAATCTCAGAAAGTCCATCAAGTGTGATCTAGGATTTATCTCCAATTTTAATACTATCTGTTATTTCACCTGAGCCAGGCACCAATTTACTCATCTGTGAAAGGAACGGCCTTCATAACAAGCCCTAAAAGCCTCTCTGGTTCCACGAAAGTTTAATTCTAAGGGTTTCGGAGACCTTAGTCTATTCCAGGCATTACTGTATATATAATTGAACTGCTGAGATCACAGGTTCCTCCTAAGACTACTAAACTAAAACAGAAATTAAGCTAAAGGTCAGTGAGCCAATAATCTTTGTTTTCTGAACAACATTTTTTTTATTTTTGAAGAGAATACAAAACATAGTTTTTTAATAAGCATTAGAAGCAATGCAGAATTTCACTAAGCAAAAATAAATAGGAATTCAAGACAGTTTGTATGTTGCACATTGTTGTTTTCGAATCATTTGTTCAGATTACCAGATATAAACCTGTAAGATTGGTCAAAAATTATAAAAAATTAAAAAGAGAGAAAAAACCTTAAGCATTAACTGCTCCTTTCAATAGACCAGCAGAAATCAGCTGTACAGTTCCGCAAGCCAGCACCATACATGCATATTTATTTCCCCTTTCCTTCATTCTTTCTGTTTCCCTTTTAGATTAATGATAACATCATTTAATACTTTGGTCCAAGCAACTTCTGTTTAGAACACAATCAGTTAAAAAAAAAAATCCTTGCTAGAGAAGAAATACAAAATAGTTTTTTACCTTAAGCCACTTACATTATTAAAAGCAAAGCCTGGGAAGTGGCCCAGAATGATTCTGGACCCAGAGAGAATCCTATTCAACCTGTATTGCTAAAGCTGTTATTTGGATATGCATGTTTGCGTTTGTTTATTCACAGAATAGTAAGTGGACTGTGCAGATCTGCTGTGGTATAATTCTATTTGTACTCACACATGTAGGAATATATGAATTAAAATGTTTTCAAGCATGTGTTCTAGATGTTAATTGTGATTACCACAAAGGAGAGATTGGTAAGGCAACACAATAGAGGAATCTTTGCTGATTATTTTATATATTTTTAAATGGTCAATTTTCCTAAAATGGGCCACATCATTTTTATAATTCTCAAAAGCCAATGTAGCCTACTATTTTGAGGTAAAAATTTAACAAAAATTAAAAGATATTGTTTAAAACAGCCTGGGCTTATCAAACATGTAGATTGCAGGTAAGGGAAATATTATTGTTTGCAGAGCAGTCACAGTACCAGATACCAGGTAAATCAGACGCGAGCCTTGACTTCCACACACAAACATAGTCTGGCATAGTGGAAACATGTAATCAACTAAAGTACGGTGTGATCAGCAGAGAAATAGTTACATGATTAGAATGTGAAAACTACTCACAGGGGAGGCATGGTGGCACAAGCCTGTAATCCTCAGCAATTGGGAGGCTAATGCAGAAAGATCACTATGAGTTTGAGACCAGATTGGGCTACACAGTCGTTCCATGCCTCACAATAAAGCAAAAACAGAAATAAAAACAAAAAAACAGGGGCCGGGGAGATAGCTCAGTGAAATAAGCATTTGGCCTGGCAAGCGCAAGGACCTGAGTTCAATCCTCAGTTCTGGAAAAAAAAAACAAAAAACTGTACTCAGAAGCCATAACAATGATCATAGGGGGCCGGGGAGATGGCTCAGTGGAATAAGCGCTTTCCTGTCAAGTGCAAGGGCCTGAGTTCAATCCCCGGTTCCGCCAAAACAAAACAAAACAAAACAACAACAACAACAACAAAAAAAAACAATGATCATAAATGTAAAAAGAAATATTGGAAATAGTTGAGGTTATAATGTACTATTTAACATACAAGTTGTAATTTTTAAATTTTATTTTTGGAACTAAGTATTCATACCAATCACCAGGATTATTTAAAAAAAGGAATTTACCTATGAAGCACTGGAAAAGTTTTTTTTTTTTTTTTTTTTTTTTTTTCTTTTAAGTGGGGGAGGCTTTAAGGGCGAGAGAAAAGCACAGTGTGGCGTAAGAGCCTGCCGGCCAGTGCAAGCTTTCAGTTCAATCCCCGTAACAAAAAAAAAGTGCCTTCAAGCTGGGCATGAGGCACATTTCTGTAATCCCAGTATTTTGAGACATTTAGGGAGAAGAATTGCAATTCTGAGCCCAGCCTGGGCAATTTAAAGCCTTGGCACACCCTGTCTCAAAATTAAAATTTCTAGAAAGGCCCACGACTATTGCTCAATGTGAGCTCCTGGGTTTCAGCCCCCAGCCCTGGAGGTCGTACAGGGCAGGATTGTCTTCCTGTTACTCCTAGGCATTAGAAGGAGGCCCTAATATACCATGTTATCCTCCCTTGCACTGAAGGTGAGAACAGGAAAGAAATCAGTAACACTGAAACACCCTAAGCAGAATGACAGAAGGTGACAACCTGGAGCTTCTTCATTCTAAAGTCTGGACTCCACAGCCAGAATGTGAAAAACATTGACATTCTGGTCCTCATGTAAGTATGTGTTGCCTTCAAAACACAGGAAACGAGCAGATCAAATGACTAGAAAAGTAGCCATTAAACACAGAGTTACTATAACTACTTTGCACAGCTCTCTAATTCCAAGAAAATGGTGGTCTCCCATTGCGAAGCTACTGAGGTGTTTGGAATGCTTCTCCCTGCTACATGTGGCCAGTTCTGAACTGGAACTGAGGTTCTTCAAGCAAGTTTCTGGCTACTCCCTTTGCCTTGCCCCTGGGTTCTTTATAGGCTCACATTGTCCTCATTTAACATAGAATCCAGGGCAAAATTCTAAACTGCCTAAGGCCCCTGGTTATTGAGGGCAGGGATTTCTACTCCAGCAGTGGTAGGCCACTCAGTCCAGAAATCCTTACTCTTACTATCCAAGCCTTCTCCTTGACTATATGCTCTCTTTAACAGAAAGATTAACAGTGACAGCTCTTCCTTGGTAATATTTCTAAATCTCCCAACTCATAGATTGTATTTGTTTGCATAACTTAGCACATCAATTCTTCTTCACTTAAAACAAGTTGAAGCTAGATTTCTAAATTTTGTATTCAAGATTCACTTAGGAATAGATGTAACTTCTTTTTTCTTTTCCATTGTGACACAATGCTGACTTAGAGCCTCACAAATTATCCCTTGGGGTTAAACACAGTTGGGTACATTTCACACCCAACTGTGCACTTGAAGTAAAAGTGTGAAAATGCATTGTGCAAAAGGATGGCTTGTACTATCTGTAGTGGTTTTCTCACTTATAGGTGCGCACCAGAGTCCTGGTTGGAATCCTTGCCTCATTTTGGTGGAAGTCAAGGAAGGGCCAACAATGAAAGACTGTCTTGAAGGAAGAGCTGTGATTAAAGCTATCCTGATTATTGCTGGATACAAAAGACAAGGGAGATACACAGCTACTTTCTTTTAGTTCAATGAGAAGAAAGAATAGTATGTAGACAAGATATGTGCTACATCTTGTACTATGAATAACTACTATGAAGACAACAATATGCAATGTATTAATTATTGTAACTGTCATACTAACCTGTTTTGAAACTCATTGCTATTTCTTTCTCAATAAAATTAATAATTCAAAAAAGACAAGGGTGGAAGGTCATTACTTTTAAAGTAAATTACTGGGGCTGGGGAGATGGCTCAGTGGAATAAGTGCTTCCATGGCAAGCACAAGAGTCTGAGTTCAAACCCCGGTTCCGCCAAAAAAAAAAAAAAATAAATAAATAAATAAAAAATAAATAAATAAAGTAAATTACTGTGCACTCTGCAAGCACATCTGTGTCACCTAACATGGAATGGAAGCTTAGAAAAGTGGAAAATTTTGAAATATTAAAACTGATATCATCTCTTCATTTTATGCCTTGACCCTGTCATGAGTTTGTGTGGGGATTTAATCTTTAAAAAGCAAAATTCCCGCCCCTGTGTGAAGATTTTAAATCTCTTATCAGTAGCGTTTTTCCTCGAGTCTCAGGGACAGCTTCTGAATTGCAGCTCTTGAACAAAAAGACTTTTTTTAAAAAATGAACAAAAAAGCCTAGGCGATAGTACGTTTTCAAAAAAAAGCGTTTCTGTCTGCGCTCCCGGGCGGGCTGTGGCCCTGCCGAGCCGCCGTAGCCAGCCTCGCGCTTCGCCAGTTGTGGCCAGGAACCGCGGTGAGGGACTTCCGTGTTGGCGGGATTCTGAACGCTGCCATGGCTCAGACCGTGCAGAACGTTACATTGTCCCTCACTCTGCCCATCACGTGCCACATCTGCCTGGGGAAGGTAATGGGTGATAGCGGGCACAGCTCCGAGGCGGCGCGGGCTGTGAGGCGCCCGCTGGGCCGAGGGCGGGCTCCGCGCGGGGCGGGGCGGGCC